AAAAGAGAATAGTTGATAATTACTTATGTTTTTTTTTACATTTGTGATAGGTGATACATAGAGAAATTCAGAAGAGATTACATGTCAGTTAAAATATTATTTATGGATTTTCAAGTAGTTATAGATCTCTAAAGAAAAAAACCGATGTTAGATTAAATACTTTACAGGGATTCTAAAAAGGAGATGACGGACGAAATTATGACAGAGCGAGGTAAGAAGATGCAGGTTTAACATACTACTCCTTGTCATACAGTAATTTCCGTCGGTTCTTCTTCTGCCTTCTGAAAAATTTCTCAAATTCTTTAACTTTAGTAAGCGTACTCTTTTCACATTTATGGATTTTTCGAAACGTTGAAAAGAAGAGATTAGCGAGATTTAATTAGGTGTAGTCAGTTAGTGATAAATTTACCTTTTTTCATGCCGTACTTCACCATCTGCATCATCTCTAGATCGCTCCGGGTTTTTCTTCCGCTTCTCCCTGTCTCTAATGTTTCTGAAATTAGAAGTTCTAAGCTATATAGTCAACGCAATCTAATAGATAATCATCAGATTCAAGAATGAACTAAATTGCGCTGATTGCAAAAATTAGCTCAAAAAGTTGTACCAATCTGGATAAAGCTTACTTTTTCATTCTTTTTGTCAGATAGCGATAATCAGAATCGTAACCGTAAGACTTCGTTTCACTCGGTCCACGAGGCTAAACAAATGCAAACATTTTTTTTTTGAGAATTTCAAGTAGAACATCATAAGTTGGCAAAAAGAACAGTTGAAAATAGGTGAACCTCAAATCTACACTCACCATCCGAACCGGTCTCACAGCAGCATTTCTCTCTATTCCTTCTCGCCGTTTAAGAGAAAGGCAGTAAGTAATAAGGTCAATGTTTCCATTAACATCTACGAACAGTTCTTGTGAAAGCTCCATATCCGTAGATAGTTGACTTCTCACCGAACTTCTGCCTATTTAAGCGTTTCTGAAATCACGCCCATGTTTGGGGACAATTACTGATAAAGTTGAGACAAAGACCATAAGTTTGGTCCATTTCACATTGCTGATAACTGACAATGCTGGATTGCGTGCTTGACGCAACCATGGTTTCCGAAAACAGCATGGAGAAAATTTAGGAAAATTTTGAAGATAGAAGTTATGTTTTGCA